TACTTTTACTCTCACTGTCTGTGCCTTAAAAAGCTCTCCGCTGTGTGAGAGGCAGTGAGCAACCGTCACCGAGGGCCACGTACAAAAACATATACGAGTGATACAGGAGCTTCAGATTGATTATAATAAGGGGAAATATGAAGGGTGTATTTCAAGCTTGTTATGTCATTAAGTTATTGGGCTTTTTTGTTATCAACTATATATATTGTTTATTTAACCAGGTAAAAGACTCGTTGAGATTAAAATCTCTTTTCCAAGAGCGACCTGGCCAAGAAGGGCAGCATGAACGAAGTTACAACAGATAAAACACAGACAAGACAGGCAGACAAATACAGCTGTAAAACACAAATAAAATGGCACATTAGCCAGTCAATATGCGAAGTAACACAAACTATTAAAAATCATTCAAAACTGGCAACATTTAAAACGATTTTAGGATATACGAGCACTCACATCTACCAATGGTGTCGTGTTCTCTGTCCTTTAAGATGGACCTGAATTCCCCCATAGTGAACTAAGATTTGTTTGAAAATGTTTCAACTGACTTAATTTATTTGAAAAGTGTGATTATTAACACATGAATACTGTGTAATATATGTTTACATATATGTTTAAGAAGTACAAGCACAAGTTTCATTTGTGGGACGTGAGGGCCGCATTTGGCCCCCGGGCCGTAGTTTGTACACCTCATCATAAGAGGGTTAGGTCTAACATGATAGCATCGTTAGCCCTTTTACTGCATCACTGATATGATGGATGGGATTTGAATCAAACCTTCTTGTTTTTAATCGTCACTTTTAAGCGATCCTGAACCAGCACCTCTCGCCCTTCTTGGTCCATACTTTAGTCCTTTGGGGTTCGGAGACCATCGCACCAAATCATGACTGTGTTCAATTAATCAAATAGCAAGTGCAGATCATTACAGAATGCTCTCTAAAATTAACGGTAGCTTCTTTTTGCCACTAGTTTATGAATTAGATCGTGTAAGAAATGCATGTGTACATGTTATTTATGGTGCTGTGAGACCCGGGAAACCACTATTGCTAACATTATGTAGCCGAGGTGGCTAGTATGAAAACTGCTCAGCGTTTCTTCAATCTAAGAGCTGCATGCGGTACCAAAAGAGCGTTTTGCTTGGGACACACTCAAAACAGCACATGTAAGTACAAGAAGTACACGATTTGAAACACAGCATTGGTGTTTATCACGACTAGTATGAAGCCTGAAGAAAACCAACCCCCCAGGTCAATTGAACAGGTATAAGTTTTCCTTTGTTCCGCTGTCGATCAAGCTGCTGAACAGTCAGGAACAATTGTGATTATGCTGTTAGGAGTTGTTGGGAGGTGCATGTTTCACAGAGTAGTTTGTGCAATCGAGAAGGTTAAATAGGGGAAGTGCATTATGGGTAAATAGGTATGGACACAATAGGGATGTGTGCAATTTGACGGACACTAGGTGCAATAGGGAAAGTTCTGTACCTGTATGCTTCTTGTTTGTTTCTTTGCCATGTGATCGGTGATCTCTGTTCTGTATCTATGACTGATTGACCTGAATGTTTTATGTGTATTATCTCGATGATCAAGACACATTTCTCCTAAGGGAGACAATAAAGCTTTATCTTATCCAATGGCGAAGAGAAAGGTCAAGAAACTCAATTTCATGACCAAATGTGCAGAAAGTGTGCTGTTCCTCCAGACATTATCCAGAGATGCTACAGCTTAGCTGCAGGGGTCCGTGTGACAGGAATGATGTTTGCAAAGATTAAGGCAGAATGATCTTAACCCAATTGGTGTGCAGGAAGGACAGACAAAAGCTAAGAAAATAGGGCCCAGATGGTAAAGAAATGGATTATATTTCACATCACGCCTTTTTCAAAACGACATCTTTCATGTCCTTCCTCTCTTTGCCTTCTTCTTCTTCTTCTGTGTTTATTAGTCCTCTCCTGTAACAATAAGCCTCTCTGGGCATTGAGAGTTACATCAAAAAGAAAGCCACGTTCAAACATTAACCTGCATCGAATGTTTGCCCTGTTTGTTTTTACAAGCCGGCTTTTGTAGATTCCAGGACTTATTCATAGCAATTAGAGCAAACCTCAGACATTAGCTGTGCTTGTTGCAGCCATAGCAGAAAAGCAGAAAGAAAACCCCTTAATCCGTGGCATCAGCGGGTCTCAGCTGCGTGCCAGAAATAATAACTAGCTTCAGAATGACCAGACTTTATTCTACGTGTCTGCGTTCGCTGCGTTGACAGATGTTAGATGTAACAGTCAGATAACTCTGTGTGTATTCACTGTATCTGGTAGAACGTGCATTACTCATCCTTTTAATAGGTTTTGGAAAGTGTTGCTGTGCTTTCGAGGTCATAAACTCACACTTTCTGCAGAGATGCATCTTGATTAAGAAAGAAATACAGAATCTGTTCCTTCAAGCCTGGAATAATCATGCAACAATAATGAATTACCGTCATTTTCGGACTATAAGCCGCGCCTTTTTCCCCATTTTTCGACCCTGCGTTTTATATAACGGTGCGGCTAATCTATGGATTTGTACAGCTAACGGCCACTAGGGGACCTCCTAAATCTATGGATTTTACAGGTTACAGTCCACCACCTTTAACTCTATGGGCTCTATGTCCGGTCCGCGCCCCCCACCTTTAAGCGGCGGGCTCCAGCAGGAAAAGCCGGAGCCCGGAAAAGAGTGAGACAGGTAGCGCGCCAAAGTAAAAGTGGAACCGAGAGTGGTACGAGAGACAGAACGAGAGCAAGACAGACAGACATTACGAGAGCGAGACAGTTTGTGCAAAGGAAGTGCACTGGTGGTCCCCGTACCACTGGTTGAAAACCACTGCTGTAGATCACTGCCGGTACGTGCGCTGGGAGCGCGCCGTTTAAGTTTGAAAGTTGAAAAGTGTGTGTGTCTGAAACGCTATGTGATACAGTACAGTTTACACAGCACAGTACATGTTCTGTAGCTACTATTGCACTAAATGGTAACACTTGAATACGTTATGCAAATATGCAACTTGTTTGTTGAAATGTTAATAAATGGGAGCTTCCTCAAACAGCCATCTCTTTCCCGACAATCCCCTCTGTGCACGAACCCTTACATACGGTAATTAAACCTTAAAACACCTGCGGCTTATCGTCCAGTGCGGCTTATATATGTACACATCATTCAATTTAGCTGCTGCGGCTTATATGCAGGTTATAGTCCGAAAATTACGGTAAATGACTCCACATGCAGGGAAATTGTTGCTTAAGATTAGCAACCAATATGTGAGCTCTACTGGGAGGGAGGCGTGTGGCGCAGTGGATCAGTGCGTTAGTGTTGGAGTCAGGGGGTCACAGGTTCAAACCCCACTGCAGTCAGCATGTCGTTGTGTCCCTGAGACGCTTCACCCCAAAGTGCTCCTGTGGGGATCGTCCACAGTGTTGAGGATGTAAGTCTCTTTGGATAAAAGCGTCTAACAAGTAACATGTAATGTACTGAGTTTTTAAGCCTCTTTTAGCTCCTAGTTTTGCTTCAGTCACAGTCACAGTGTTTCCAGCAGCAAACAACCTCTAATAAACCCTAAAGATACTTCCTGCTCATCAGCCAGGTTTTAAGAGACAAGCTGGTGAAGAAAGTGAAGTATTTAGCAGCTAGAGAGAAAAGCAATTTCTGTATAAAATGAATATGTTCCTGACGGGAGGACTAGCAAGTTATACCGAGCATGTTTTGGTTTTGCTGCACATTTAAGGTCTGGTTTAGTCTCATTACCAAACAGCAGCCATACACAGAGACCGGCTGGTAAAGAAAGTAAGTTTAGCAGCTAAAGAGCAAAAAGTGTTTATCAGGAGTTTGTGGAGACCAAGCCAGAGCTAATAAAGGGAGGATATGGGACTCTCAGCTGAACACTAACTCTGGCTTGGTTTTTCTGAAACGCATCACTGTAGAAATTGGAGGAGGAGTTTCAGACTCCGTCAGCGCCTTTCTGCTCGAAAGAGATGATATCTGAACAAAGGGCCTCGTTTTAAAGAGACTCTGAAAGATTCTCTCTCTTTTTGATCCATTTCTATAAAAACCTGTCTGAAAATGAGCTGATCAGATTTTGGCACTTTATGATGTCATAACGATGTGTTGTCTTGTGTAACCATTAGCCAATCAGCAAGCAAGGTAACCCCCCCCCCCCTTATCACCTGAAACTCCTCCTAGAGCAGTGGTTCTCCACTGGTCAGGCCTCGGGACCCACTTTTTCCTTTGTCAATAAATCGTGACCCGAAATTTTGAACCACTCAAATCTATTCAACAAAACATCGTGCTGTAATTTATATACGCTTTCCAGCATACGATATTAATGAAAGTGAAGTGCAGAGCAAATATCCCTGATATCCCTTCACAGAACTGAAGAATGCTTTTAAAAAGGTTTAATGAGATGATGGAATCAAAGCTGAACTGTATCCCATAAAAAGGCACACATGCTGAAAACCCAACCCCAGCAGGGGGTCTGGGGGGATTCTCCCCCAGGAGATGTTTAGAAATACTAACATATAACTACGCATTCTGGTACTCTGAGAAGAAAATAAATAAATGTATTACTACCCGACATATTAATGATATTTGATGCCATTGTTTGTTTTTCACTTAGTTCTGACAGCTTGCTGCTCCTCACAGAGAGAAGAGCAAAGAGGAGTATTGTGGGTAAGGGTAGATAGCCCCCATTGCTCTGTGACCTGTCAGTCATCAGACCGGGGGTCATATTTCATTATGTGTTCATTTCTATCTGAAGTCGTACCCATGGATGTATAAAGAATAGTTCTACCGCAAAGTTATTCTCCGTGGGGACTTCCAGCAACTATCTTGATTCTGATGCTGAAACAGAGGGGATTATGGGTAATGCTGCAATGATCTGTTTGGTGTTTCAGCCAATCAGAGACAGGCTCTGGATATATCTGAGACCTGTAATATATTGATGAAAACAGTATAATAGAGGACCTTTAAAACATGAAAGGACTTTCTTACCTTCTAGCGTGGTTCCTCGTCCCTCCAGAGCGTCGCTCGTGCCTGACGGGTATCTGGCGCTGACGGAGATCTCGTACTGGGTCCCCGGCTGCAGGTTCTTCAGGAGCGCCGCCCTGTTGTCTCCCTTCACCGTCACCTCCTTCCTGGGACCGCCGGCGGAGGGTTGGTAGGAAACACGGTACTGCTGAACACTTCCAGGAGCCGGCTCCCAGGAAACCTTCATGGAGGAAACGGTCTCCTCGAACACCCTCAGGTCTCGAGGTGAACCTCTGGCTGGAAGGAGAGGAAACAAGGTCAGAAAATGAAGCAGAGAAGAGAATCGGAATTGAAAAGTCTGGTTTTCTTGTGTTTATTTCTTGATCTTGATGTTAAGCTTGCTTTCTTGAGAGAAATAAGATAAGATAAGATGTACTTTTTTTTGTTGCAGCAGCATAAAATAAAACTAGGCATTGCACATAGTAACACATTAAAAGAGTAGAAATAAACAATCCTCAGGTCCTGAGGCGAACCTTTGGATAGAAAGAACGGAAACAAGGTCAGAAAATGACGAGAATCGGTATTGAAAAGTTTTCTTGTGTTTATTTCTTGATCTTGATGTTAAGCTTGCTTTTTTGAGAGAATCAAAAACGTACGATCATGTATAAACTTGCTTTCCAATTCTCACATTGTAAGTGACCAACAACGCTTCTTCGGAGATGGGATTGTGTTTTGGACAAGAAGCGTTACTTAAATCGTACTGTACTACATTTTTGTTTTATAAATAAAATAGTATAAGTACAGTCATACTTCTTTGCAAATTCTTGGTCACAATGTTCCTAGAAACCATGACATTTACCATTAAGAAAACTGATAGTAAAAGAGAGGACGTAATGGATAATGGATCTTAAATGTCCTTGACCAAGACTCTGAACCCTCAGTTGCTCCACTAACTTAAATCGTACTGTACTGGTAAAGTATAACTACATTCGTATGTCCTTGTAAATTCTCTATCACATTTTTCCTTGAAAGCATGTATCAAGTAGAAAAAAAACTGATAGGAAAAGATATAACGTAGTGGTCTTCTTTTAGTATTTGACTGCTGCCAGCGTCTGAAATGCCTTCGAACGAGACTCTGAGTTAGTCAGAGAGCTCCAGTTTGTGCACAGTAGAAACTGGGAAGCTCCCAGGATCTGATTTAGTGTAAGTAGGGCAAGTTCAAACAATTCCCCTTTGAAAAGAATTGTTAAAATAAATGGGTGACTCATTTGCCCTGGTGTTAACGCCTAGTGCTGAGTGTTACTGAGAGATGTTTTATTGTTGGATCGGCCTTTGTGTATTTTTCCTACTTAGTAATGAAAATGTCAAGGATTTAAAGTGAAATGCACTTAATTTCCCCCAATAGTTGTCAGAAAACGTGTGAAGTGATTCCTAGCGTCTGCTGTAACCTCTGTGCCACTGCAGGACTCGTGGAAAAGACTTGCATCGATTCATAGTTCTCAGATACAGTCATGGCACAGTAAACATTGTAATAGGAACAATATCGTAAGCCCTATATGGGGAGAAAGGAAAACCATGAATCCATCTGAGAGCCAGCTGGGTGTTTCATGTCAAAGAGGTGCAAACTGGGATTAATACTACTGCCTCTTTTTATAAACCATCACCAAAAAAAATCCACCTCAGACGACTAGCAGCTGTTCTCCTGTCTGAGGAGAACTCTCACTACTCGGAGAAATGCTGTTGCCATGGAAGCCGGGAATATATAATGTTTATTTGGCTCAAGGTCGATGATAATATGCTTCCTCCCGGACGCTCTGAAGCTAACAACTTCCTCCAGGAGATAATATCTCCTGTCAAGAGTCAAGAAGAGAAAACTCCTACGCTCAGAGGAGGAAGAAGTACTCAGATTGTGTACTTGAGTAAAAGTAGAAGTACTCAGATCTTGTAGTAAAAGTAGAAGTACTCAGATCTTGTATTTGAATACAAGTAGAAGTACTCAGATCTTGTACTTGAGTAAAAGTAGAAGTACTCAGATCTTGTAGTAAAAGTAGAAGTACTCAGATCTTGTATTTGAATACAAGTAGAAGTACTCAGATCTTGTACTTGAGTAAAAGTAGAAGTACACAGATCTTGTACTTGAGTAAAAGTAGAAGTACTCAGATCTTGTACTTGAGTAAAAGTAGAAGTACTCAGATCTTGTTCTTGAGTAAAAGTAGAAGTACTCAGATCGTGTACTTGAGTAAAAGTAGAAGTACTCAGATCTTGTAGTAAAAGTAGAAGTACTCAGATCTTGTATTTGAATACAAGTAGAAGTACTCAGATCTTGTACTTGAGTAAAGTAGAAGTACACAGATCTTGTACTTGAGTAAAAGTACTCAGATCTTGTACTTGAGTAAAAGTAGAAGTACTCAGATCTTGTTCTTGAGTAAAAGTAGAAGTACTCAGATCTTGTTCTTGAGTAAAAGTAGAAGTACTCAGATCTTGTACTTGAGTAAAGTACCAGAGTGTAGGAATACTCTGTTACAGTAAAAGTCCTGCATTCAAAATGTTCCTCAAGTGAAAGTAGAAAAGTATTCTCATCTAAATACAGTAAAAGTATTCGTTGTGCAGATTGGTCCATTTCAGAATAATATATATGATATGTTTTATAATGATTGATCATGAAAGTGTTCTCAAAGCTGGTGAAGGTGCAGCTAGTTTGAAGTACTTTGTATACTGCAGGGTAGCTGGAGGATTTACTCCAGGTGGAACTAAAGTTTGATTTAACACTTGATTAGATTTCACATCATCCATCCACATCTGTGAAGTAACTAAAGGGATTAAATACATGTAGTGGAGGAAAAGTACAAAGTAGCTTAAAATGGAAATACTCAATTGAAGTACCTACAAATTGTACTTAAGTACTGAGTAAATGTACTTTGTAACTTCCCACCCCTGCCTACTCTTCGTTCTTCATTGTTTATGACCACCGAGTACATCTTGGCCGGCAGCTTGCTGTGCTTCTGTCTGTTTTCCATTCCTTCCCCTGTAAGGCAGATCTGAAGCACGATGGGTGGCAGCTTGTACTAACACCGCTAAAAAGTGAGGAGGTCAGAAAGGTTTGGAGTCCTGGCACTCCCAGGCCACGTAGGAATGAAAAGCAAACGCCAAATGGCAGATGACGACATTTAAAAAAGCCAAATAGAGTCACTCAAGATGTCAGAAAGACGTCTGCAGTAATTTCCACCGGGGTCTTTGAATGACGCAGATAGATGGAAACACAGCTTGCACCCAGAATGTTTTCATCATCCATCATTTCAAAGGTTTTTTTTGACATAATTTGAACTGTCCCAAAGCACAAACAGAGGCACCTGTTGTGGATCAGAACCGGTGACTCAACCATTACCTAACCAGCAGCTCAGGTTTCAGAGATCAAACTTCTGACCCAACATCTTTTGTAGTTTTGGAACAAAGACTCGCCACCTTTTGGAGTTTATGGAGTCATGGCATTTACTATATTTCCATCACAAAGAAATAATGTTTTAAAGATTTTGTGAAACCTGTTTCGACTGGATCTTGGCCAGTGATTTGGATTATTTAAAATGAATATATCTGTATGTTTCTTGTTGTTCTGTATCTTGATGGTTTTTGCACCTATTGTAACTCACTTTGGATAAATGTGTCTGAACATGTAATATAATGTACAGGAACCTTGTTGTTGGGACATTTTTAGCTACACTACAATCATAAAATTAATTCATAGCTCAACATTTTGAATTTATTTTTGTTAGAAATTGTGTTTCTTTTGTATTTCCGCAAGTAAAAAAAAGATGAAAACTTCTACATTTCTACATTTTTCTCATGAAAAACATGAAATATTGAAATGCCAGTCAGCCATGTGGACTATGACCTCCATCCATCCATCCATCTTCTCCCGCTTATCCGTGGTCGGGTCTCGGGGGTAGCAGTTCCAGCAGAGAGCCCCAAACTTTCTTTTCCCTGGCGACATCAACCAGCTCTGACTGGGGGATCCCAAGGCGCTCCCAGGCCAGCGAAGAGATATAATCCCTCCACCTGGTCCTAGGTCTACCCCTTGGTCTCTTCCCAGCTGGACGTGCCTGGAACACCTCCCTAGGGAGGCGCCCAGGTGGCATCCTAACTAGGTGCCCGAACCACCTCAACTGGCTCCTTTCGACGCGAAGGAGGAGCGGCTCAACTCCGAGTCCCTCCCTGATGACCGAACTTCTCACCTTATCCCTAAGGGAGACACCAGCCACCCTGCGGAGAAAACCCATCTCGGCCGCTTGTATCCGCGATCTCGTTCTTTCGGTCATGACCCATCCTTCATGACCATAGGTGAGGGTAGGAACGAAAATGGCCCGGTAGACAGAGAGCTTTGCCTTCTGACTCAGCTCCCTTTTCGTCACAACGGTGCGGTAAAGCGACTGCAGTACCGCTCCCGCTGCTCCGATTCTCCGGCCCATCTCACGCTCCATTGTTCCCTCACTCGAGAACAAGACCCCGAGATACTTGAACTCCTTCACTTGGGGTAAGGACTCATTCCCTACTTGAAGTGGACAGTCCATCGGTTTCCTGCTGAGAACCATGGCCTCAGATTTGGAGGTGCTGATCCTCATCCCAGCCGCTTCACACTCGGTTGCGAACCGATCCAGTGAGTGCTGAAGGTCGCAGACCGATGAAGCCATTAGAACCACATCATCTGCAAAGAGCAGTGGTGCAATCCTTAGTCCACCGAACTGCAGACCCCCTCCCCCACTGACTACGCCTCGAAATCCGATCCATGTATATTACAAACAGGATTGGTGACAAAGCGCAGCCCTGGCGGAGGCCAACCCTCACCGGAAATGGGTCCGACTTACTGCCGAGGACCCGGACACAGCTCTCGCTTTGGGAGTACAGAGATTGGATGGCCCTGAGTAGAGACCCCCTCACCCCATACTCCCGCAGCACCTCCCACAGTAACTCCCTGGGAACTCGGTCATACGCCTTCTCCAAGTCTACAAAACACATGTAGACCGGATAAGCGTACTCCCAGGCCCCCTCCAGGATCCTTGCGAGAGTAAAAAGCTGATCCGTCGTTCCACGACCAGGACGGAATCCGCATTGTTCCTCCTCAATCTGAGGTTCGACAATCGGCCTGACCCTCCTTTCGAGTACCTTAGAGTCAAATTTCCCGGGAGGCTGAGTAGTGTGATGCCTCTGTAATTGGCACACACCCTCTGATCCCCCTTTTTAAAAAGGGGAACCACCACCCCGGTCTGCCACTCCTTCGGACTATGACCTATTTAATTTAATAAAGATAGTCTCAAACAGCAGTTTGTTCTCTCCTAAAATACATATTATCTATGTATTAAAAATTAGGTTGTTTCTAGATATACTTTATACCTTTTTATAATGCCTAACATTATCCTTTTTTTATCACATTGGCGTAAACGGACCTCCCTACTCTTGCTTGTTTAGCTTTTATACATTTTGAGTGTATGCACTACATTTCCCATAATGCATCATGATCGTGTTAATGCGAACAGGAGGAGCACATTCACCATGCGTCTGTCACATTGCCGTTATTACCACACACTGACCCTGAGCCCAGTTTATTTTTGTTCTTACTATTGTTTATAGTTTGAATAATCTGCTCCATGTGAAGTAGAACTGTTTTTGCTACTAGCTGTTACTGTTTGCTCCGTCACCATGGAGATATAAACAACACCTGGATTGCTTTTGATAAAGTAGAAACAGATTATATGTGATGATTGAGTCAAGATCTGAAATAACATGGAGCATATTTTCGTAAAATGCAGCTTTATTGACAATGGGCAAACTGTTATCACTGCTAACACTTGAATAAAGACAGGAAATGTGCAAAATGAGTCCTAAAATTGGCTACATAGCCCAACATTAGCCTCCTTTAGCTTAGCGGTGATAACGTGAAGTCATGTGACCGTGCTGTAGTTCCTTTATAGCCCAACATTAGCCACCTTTAGCTTAGCGGTGGTGAGGTGAAGTCATGTGACCGTGCTGTAGTTTCCTTTATAGCCCAACATTAGCCACCTTTAGCTTAGCGGTGATGACGTGAAGTCATGTGACCGTGCTGTAGTTCCTTTATAGCCCAACATTAGCCACCTTTAGCTTAGCGGTGGTGATGTGAAGTCATGTGACCATGCTGTAGTTTATTTATAGCCCAACATTAGCCACCTTTAGCTTAGCGGTGGTGACGTAAAGTCATGTGACCGTGCTGTAGTTCCTTTATAGCCCAACATTAGCTGCCTTTAGCTTAGCGGTGGTGACGTAAAGTCATGTGACCGTGCTGTAGTTCCTCTATAGCCCAACATTAGCCACCTTTAGCTTAGCGGTGGTGACGTGTTTTATACTGTTGTCTTTTCATTTATTAAAATCAAAAGTAGTTGGAATTCCTTACACACATAATGTATATATAATATCCTGCTTTATATTTTGTTAATGTAAACTTGTTTTTCAAAATGTATATTGTCTACTTTTTGAATGCTATTTTATTTCTATTTGAGATGTTTACATTTTGGATTGTGTATTTATTGTCTTTTAACTTCTCTTATGTATAATGCCATGTCTTTTTATGCTGCTGCAACGCAAACAACCACCAGATCAATAAAGTACTTCTTTTATTTTTATCTTTACCTTCTTTGGTGGTGCCTTCAGTGTCCAGTGGCACTCCGGAGCCGGATGTGTATTCAGGCGTGACGGTGACGCGGTATTTGGTTTTAGGCTGAAGTTCCTGCAGCACGATGGCCGTCTCTCTGCCAGCGGTGGTCGTCTCCAGCCTCGATCTCTCGTCACCTACAGGTTCGTACGTCAATTTGTAGCGAGTGACGTCTCCTTGAGCCGGCTGCCATGACACTCTGAAGCTGTCTGTCGTCTCTTCGGAAACTCTCAGGTTCTGCACGGAGCCTCGTTCTGCAACAAATATTAAAGAATTACATTAGCATTACTGCTGGTGCAATGTTAATCAATTTTTGTAGCAGTGTTAAGCTATAAAGTAAAACTATACCATAAACTAAACTATGGTTACATGACTTCACATCGCCCATGCTAGGCTAATGTTGGGCTATAAAGGAACTACAGCACGGTCACATGACTTCACGTCACCACCGCTAAGCTAACGGAGGCTAATGTTGGGCTATAAAGGAACTACAGCACGGTCATATGACTTCACGTCACCACCGCTAAGCTAAAGGTGGCTAATGTTGGGCTATAAAGGAACTACAGCACGGTCACATGACTTCACGTCACCACCGCTAAGCTAAAGGCGGCTAACATTGGGCTATAAAGGAACTACAGCACGGTCACCTGACTTCATGTCACCACCGCTAAGCTAAAGGAGGCTAACATTGGGCTATAAAGGAACTACAGCACAGTCACATGACTTCATGTCACCACCGCTAAGCTAAAGGACGCTAATGTTGGGACTATAAAGGAACTACAGCACGGTCACATGACTTCACGTCACCACCGCTAAGCTGAAGGAGACAACTTTTAGTCGTCTCATTTAGACATTTGTTAGCAACCACTGTTTTTAAATCCGCCAGTGGGGTATTTACTGAAGTATTTTATGTCGTAGAATTAAAATCTCTTCAGCTTGTGTTAACCACAGACCTTATTTCAGGCTAACAAACAAAAACACATTCAGAAAAACCATTGACTTCCAGACCAAGACACAGGAAGTGGTAAAATGCTGACTCATTTCTGGGTTTTAGGACTCAGGATACATGCACCACAGTATTTGCAAGCTTAAAAAAAAAGTCTACATACCTTCTAAAGTGGTCTCAAAGCCGGTCACAGGAAGGCTGTTCCCTTTGGCGTACTGAGCTTGAACGTTGACTTCGTAGCGGGTGAGAGGGGTGAGGTGAGGGAGGACAGCAGTTAGAGTTTCTCCGGGGACGGACATGGAAACGTAATGCCCGTCGTCTCCGTTTTCCGGCCTGAAGCGGACCAAGTAGGACTCGACATCTGTGGCGTCCATTTCCCAGGCGGCTCTGAAACTCCTGGAGCCGACCTCAGAGAACGAGAGGTCCCGAGGCTGGGTCAGGCCTGCAGAAAGTGGGGGATTATAAGGTTTAAATTAAGGTCAATTCAGCAATATTTCAACTGCTTATTCAAAAAAACACCCATACGAACAAATTCCAAACTATATTTCGTCACAACAAAAGGTGTTAATCTATGGAATAACTGAAATGATGATCTGAAATACTGTGCAATCTAAACTAAAGCAATTCATTAGAAACCAAATCCTGAATGGTTCTGAGCAGGACATGTGAACTCATGCTTGCTAATTCTTGTCGTTTTAAAATGTATTTGCTTTTGTTTGCTTTGTACAAAGGAATGATTTGTTTAAATCAATGACTCAAATATCACGGATGCTGATGACGATGACCTGAACTTGTATTTTCATGAACAATGTGCGCTAGAGGAGGACCAGAAACGTGTTTAAGCTTCTTCTTGCCCCTTTTGAACATGAAGGAAACTGAGAATATATTTTTGTATTTGTTTATACCTTACACGTTTTTTTAATTTTTGCTTATTTTTGTTATAATTATTAACATATTTATTATTATTATTATTATTAATTTTGTTTCTAACATGTTCAATAAATTGACTAATGAAAGAAATACAAATTAAAGAACAGTGTGCTTTTAGAAAACCCAATAAATACATTTTGAAAACACCATGAAGCAAATCAAGAAATTATTTGTGATCAAGATGGTACTTTTTATAGAGACAGTAGCATCATGAATTATCCTTTGCTTTAGTTGAGTTGATATGGCACATCTTAATGTACGCAGTGATGTTAGAGATATATATGGTTTAGGAATCAAGAGAACCAAACCAACATGAGTTAAGGACAAATATTTAACATCTTAATGCCAACTAAATGATGTCTTCTGTATCCATAAACAAGCCAAAAACCAGATTTGTACTTCATATAAAATCAATGCTCTCTGCAAAACTTCCAGACTCCATTGAAAAAAACAGAGATGTTTCTGTTTAAAGTAGACCGGGTAGAGCTGTGTGGTGTAAAGTACAATTACTGTTTTAGTGAAAGGAGTCTGGTGGTTTTAAACAAAAGATAAATAATGGTTTCATATCCCCGACACGCAGGGCTGTCTGACAGCAGGGACAACATTCTTAAAGCAGCGTTGACTTCAGCTAGTATTTATTTTGTGTCATGGAAGCCAACACTTTATCTTGGTTAAAAGTCTGTTTGAACTGTGGAAAAACCACCAAGACTTCCTTCAAAGAGAGAAAGCAAATGAAGGAATCCAGGGGGAAGACGTGCTGACCTACATGCTATTTAATTAAGATGTATAATAATCTACAAGCCGTCTGACAGCTCCATCTCTCAAACAACAGGAGGGGGGGGGGGGGGTTGCTGTGAAATCCATATGTTGGCTTCTGCACACGTCTCTTTGTTGACAAGTCATTATTATATAAGAATGATATAATCGGCAATCAAAGCTGGTGTGAGTCACACTCTGCTGGCAGACCTATTGGCGAAGTTACATGGAGAGTCATTTATAGTTTTGACTCTAAGTGGGTTAAAAAGTGCATTTGTGAGGAACTCTTGACTACCAGATGTTCGGGGGTTGGATAATGACTTCAGCGCGGAGGAGGATGCATTTCAAAGTGTTGCTTACGGACACGTGACGGGCAGCAAGGAAATCTCTGCACTATTTGACCCAGTTGTGATACTTCCACATGCAGGAACCTCTCTCTGCCCTTGAAAGATCAAAAAGCCGGACATGTGTTAAACATATGAGGCGAAGAGGAGGGGGAGGGCTCGGTGGAAAAAAAGGAAAGTCACTCTTGGAAATGTGACCTGAGAGTAACTGTGAGCATGTGTTGGTGCCGCTCTGTATTCTCCTCCACAGAGTATCGTCTGACTGAGGCAGTAATTAATTGTTCAAATGTTGGTTTGATCACTTCAAATGCTCTAAATCATAACAGGTCATTCTCACACTTAAATTCCCAGCACTTATGAAAAGTATTTAATAGTCTTCACAGCACATAAACATTAAATAAAGTACATTTCTTATTATCTAAAAACGGTTGCAGCTGATCAGGTTTCATGAAATATGCTGAGAAACAAACTAAAGTAAATATCAAAGAGCTTAATGTTGTTTTTAATACATAATTATGATGAAAACGGTTAAAACTTTGAGATTTCTATGACTAGAAAAAGTTCTTCTTACTGATATTTAAAGTTAGCGAACATTTTAATTGTTTGGACAGTAAGAGGTTGATCTGATATCTTGGAGCTCTAAGGTTTGAACGTTTCGGTTAATGCAAAACAAGCTTGTTTCACAGAATAAACAACGCAAGATAACCAAGTATGAGCATGCAATTGCGTAAACCATTCCCACTTCCAAACAATGGATACACAAGAGTAAAACAACTTGCAATCATCCTCCAAACACTTGATTGTACTGCATGACTGAGCCTCAGCTGCCTCGCCCAGTGTGACAAATGACAGACAAGTAATGTCTGCGCAGAACTGGAACCATGTAATTCATATCATCCACCTTTACAGCTGACATTAGGCTCGTCAGTTTAAACCAGTAGAAAACGGATATACACAGATTATTACGTTGGTTTATCCTTTTGACGAAAGAGAATCGCAAAATGCCTTTTTTGCACACATATTTCAGGCTAATGTTACTGAAAGTAAAGTCTGATTCTGCTTTCTTTTCTGCCTCAAACCAGAATCAAACCAGTAACTGATAGAAAAGATAAATCATCAATGACAAGAAAACAGAATCGATTAAATCTTTCTGTGCAGATTGCTCAAAAGAAGTAAAGTGTGGTTTCATCAGCGTAGAGTATAAATTAAAATACTAGTCAAATGTATTTGCTTTCAACATGATTATTTTCTGATCGAACCAGAACATGATGCGATAAATACTTAGTCAATGATAAGAAATCAGAATAGATCCAATCCTTCTCTGCACATTGCTCAAAAGAAGTTGAGTGAAGCGCGCTATCATCAAGGACAAAGATATTTACTTTCAACATGATTATTTTCTGAATCAAAACCAGAACATAAATAAGTAGTAAATGACAAGACATCAGAATAGATCCAATCTTTCTCTGCAGATTGCTCTGAACATCGTGAGTAGAAAGCATGGTATCATCAGCATAGAGTATTGAAGCAACAGTACTTACGTCTTTGGATGATGTTTCGTAGTTCTTGCTCGATCCTCAGGCAGATGGACTGCGTCAGCTCTTTGGAAATCCTCGTGAAGGCATCAAAGTCGTCCACGGTGTAAACATGTGTCTCCGCCGGCTCGTTGGCGATGGCCTCCAGTTCGCCTCTCACGGCATCTTTAACGCCCACCGCAAATATCTCCACATCGGCGTTCCTCAGTTTGGTGGCCGGATTGTGGAAGGCGTCGGAGGATTTCCCGTCCGTGATGAGGATGTTTATTCGAGGAACGTTGGGTCTCGCTCCTCTGTTGGCCTGGAAGATCTTCTCTCTCACGTAAGTCATCGCCCTGCCGGTGTTTGTGGATCCGCCACGATACGGAAACGATCTCACCGCCTTCACTACGGCGCTCTGATCGTGGTGAGTGTTCAGGTAGAATTCGGTGTGAGGGTCCCTGCTGTACTGAACCAAGCTGATCTGGACTTTATCTGGTCCGATGTCGAAGGAGGTAACCAGCACCTCCAGGAACGCTCTCACTTTGGCGAAGTTAGCCAGACCGATGCTGTAGGAACCGTCGACGAGGAGGACCACATCGGCTTGGACATCAACGCCAAGGGAACACTCTGAGATCAGAAAGACACAAGATAAGGTTGTAATTCATTGGCTTCAAAGAGAACACATTCAAATCTGTCTAAAGCTTGTGTTATAAGACCTTTCCTCAGGGTGTTTTAGAAAAGCAACTGCTCAAAAAGTCAAAAGAGATGCTCAATGATACATAGAATATTGTTAAAGGTTTTCATTGACTAGCTTCAGTGAGAACCCATTAAATTATGTCTAAAACTTGTATTATAAGACCTTCCCTTGGGGTGTTTTAGAGAAGCAACGGATCAAAAATAATGACAAAGACAAGGTTGTTATTGACTAGATTCAGTGAGAACACATTAACATCTGTCTAAAGCTTGTGTTATAAGACCTTTCCTCGGGGTGTTTTAGAGAAGCAACTGCTAGGCTCAATGATACCTAGAATATTGTTAAAGGTTGTCATTGACTAGATTCAATGAGAACACATACAAATATGTGTGTTCATGCAAAACAAGCTTGTTTCACAGATTAAACAATGCAAGCATACCGAGTATAAGCATGCAATCGAGTTAACCATGCCGTATTCCTTTAAAATAAAATGATAACTTATTTTCTTGAACTGTGAAGACTTTGCAGAAACCCTCTTAGTGTCTGACAAACTTCCATTGTGTCAGAAAATGCAACAAAAAGGCCAGTTTGGAGATTTACCTCCACTATTTCGTACTCACCCAGTGACACTTTAACGAGTTGTGTTTTCTGCATGAGGGTCAGAGGCTCGCTGGGCATCAGGCCGTTCAAAGCGAACAGACTGATCTGGTACTCTGTGTCTGGGAGAAAGATCACTGACCACCACCTGGGTCTGCGTCGGACCAACGTGGAGCTCCTGCCGTTTGCTTCCAGCCATCATCGGGATCATCTGAACCTTGTATCCCGAAACCTCTCCGATGGAGGCGTCCCACATCAACCGCAACGACTTTGAGGCGACTTCCAGGATTTGGAGGTTGGACGCTGGCTCAACAACTGCCAATAAATAGGAATTATAGAATGATTAACTCTCATTATGCGATAGATTTAAGCACATTCGTCTCCATTGTGTTGGCGTATAGCAGGAGAATCTTAAAGGCTTGATCATTTGGCAAAAACATTGTTGTTTGCTTAAAGAAAACTAGGAAAATAAGCTATAACATTTATTATTATGACATATCAATTATCAAAGTTATTATTATATCTATATCAATAAGGAGTAGTTATATATCTCAAAAATATGGCAAGAGTTACATGAGGAGCTTGATACCTCCAGGACTTGGAGGGTGGCTCAACAACTGCCAAAAATAGCAATTATAGAATGATTAACTCTCATTATGCGATACATTTAACCATATTTGTCTCCATTGTGTTGGCGTATAGCAGGAGAAACTTAAGGGCTTTTTATTCTGCTTCATAATTGACGAAAACATTGTTAAAAAGCTATGAAAATCAGATATAAAAAGGAATAATGATGACATATCAATAAGGAGTAGTTATATATCTAAAAAATATGGCAAGAGTTACACGAGGAGCTTCATACTACTGTTATGTCTTCTAAATATGAAATGGGGGCCAGCAAATGGTTAGCTTAGCTTAGCATAAAGACTGGAAACAGGTGGAAACAGTTCGCCTGGCTCTGTCCAAAGATGTATGGGTTGAAATAACTACATAAAACAAGAATAAGAATAAGTTAGAGGTGCTGGTAGAGGGGTTGTGTTACGTTTGGACTGATGTAGACTTACTGTTTCCCCATGTTCAGTCTTTATGCTAAGCTATGCTAGTACCTGCTAGCTCTAGTGTAATTGTAGCGTACACACATTAGATTAGGGTGACCAGACGTCCCCGTTTTCCGGGGACAGTCCCCATTTGTATTGGCCTGTCCCCGGTTGAAACTGTCCCCGGAAATGTCCCCGTTTTTTAATATACGTTAAAAACACATAGCAAGGTGAAACAAAATGTTTCATGTCAGGAAACACTGGGTAAACAGACTGCGGTCAAGCCAGCCCCCACTTCGGAAAAAACAGTCAAGCCAGCCCGCACGTTGTATTGCGGTGCGCGAATATCCTATGCATTACGGTAGAGGCCTGTAAAAACTGCCTTCAAAATAAAAGTGTTTACTCGGTCAATAACACATATACCTAAAAAACACACCAAACATATTCATATATACTGGAGCTTGAATTAAGAAATATGTATTATATAATGTGATCAATACTAATTTAAAACAAACTACGTATAACTACCACATTATAACTGAGTGAATGTAAAATGTAAGTATACAGTTATGAAGACATATCTGACATTTCCACTGGGTGACTAATTTCAATTGATGTTGACACCATCTCACAACACTCCTAAAATAACATTACTTTCTGAAGCACAATTTAAAATGTATGCTGTTTAAAATCTCAAATTAGATCTATTGTCCATCTATATTTAGATTATTATTTAATGGAAACCATCCATAATCAAAGAGTCACTCGAAGTGAATCAAATACTTATTTCACTCCAGGGTGATAGCAGGAGACCCCATCTAATCACTCAGAGAGAATCAGGACAATCTGATGTAGAATTTCAAAATAAAATACTTTTGAAATCTCATATATGGGCTCTCATCCCTCTGTTTTTAGATAAGAATAAAACAAAAACAATCCAGTATCAAAGACTTATTTCACTTCAGGGTGATAGCAGGAGACCCCATCTAATCACTCAGAGAGAATCTGGACAATCTGATGTACAGTTTCAAAATAAAAGACCTGAAGTCTCATATATGAGCTATCGTCCTTCTGTTTGTATCCAACAGTTCAAATGTTCAAATTACATTGAACCAGAATTGTCCCCCTTTTTTCTTTAACAGTGAAGAAAATTGGATATGTTAATGAGATATTGACCGCAAAACTCAAAATGTCCCCGGTTTTACCTTAGCGTACACACATTAGATAGGTATCAATCTCTTCATCTAACTAGTGACAAGAAATCTACTTTTTCAGATAATGTGCCAAAAAAGGACAACAGAAGGCAGAAACTTGTAACGCATTATTTACTCCACTTATTTCACATTTCTTCACCACATCTCACCTTCTTCTCCGCTGACGAGTGAGTTGAGTTGATCGTCGACGCCAGCGCACACCTGAGAGACGAGTTTGTTCTGCACACTCTTGATTAAGTTAAAGTCAGCGACGCTAAAGATGTGACTTGTGTGAGGCTCGGAGGCCATGAGCTTCATCTGTTCCTCGTTTGCCTGCTGGATGCCTGAACAAAGAGAGATGTTAGTGTCTGAAGAACAGGGAAATGGTTCCATTGCAACCACTCAGATCACAGTCTGCTCAAATGAGGGACATTCCAAGTATTATTTATCATTATAATTATTACTCCAATTCTATTTCAATGTAAATACTGCAATATATATATTTTAACTTTATTTTCAGTTTGTCCAACATTCATGACGAAAAAAAATACTGCTATATTTTTTTATATATTTTTTTTAAGTTTCTTCAAATGGTTTTCTATCTGCGTTTTTAATATAATGTTGTAGTAGAACTTTTATTGAAGAAATGCTCATTATTAGAACATAATGGGGAATGATGAGTGTTCAGAGTATAGTGCTATAATGCTTCGTATAATACAATATAATAATAGTGTAATGTTAGGGTGTGTACACTGTGTGTGTGTGTGTGTGTGTGTGTGTGTGTGTGTGTGTGTGTGTGTGTGTGTGTGTGTGTGTGTGTGTGTGTGTGTGTGTGTGTGTGTGTGTGTGTGTGTGTGTGTGTGTGTGTGTGTGTGTGTGTGTGTGTGTGTGTGTGTGTGAGTGTGTGTGCATGTGTGTGGCCTAGCATTACTATACTTGTGGGGACCTAAATCTGTTTACACAGTCACGTGTGGGAACTCGCCTCCCTTATGGGGACAAATTGGAGGTCCCCTTGAGGGGAATCAGTAATTTGAGGGTGAAGACTTGGTTAGGTTTAGGATTAGGGTTAGGTTAAGGGTTAGGGTTAGGCATGTGTTGGTTATGGTTAAGGTTTGGATAAGTCTCCAGGAAATGCATGTAAGTCAATGTAATGTCCCCTGAAGTGATGCATACTGGTATGTGTGTGTGTGTGTGTGTGTGTGTGTGTGTGTGTGTGTGTGTGTGTGTGTGTGTGTGCGCGTGTGTGTGTGTGTGTGTGTGTGTGTGTGTGTGTGTGTGTGTGTGTGTGTGTGTGTGTGTGTAGGGAGGCGAGTGGCGCAGTGGATAGAGCCTTGGTGTTGGGATCAGGGGGGCACAGGTTCAAACCCCACTGCAGTCAGCATGTCGTTGTGTTCCTGAGACACTTCACCCCAAAGTGCTCCTGTGGGGATCGCCCACAGTATTGAGTATCTAAGTCGCTTTGGATAAAAGCATTTAATAAGTAACATGTAATGTATGTGTGTGTCAGGTTGAAGGAAAAGGCCACTTTTAGGTTAAGGTTAATTATTATTCACAGTGCCTGAAGCTAATGAGATGCGAGGTTACAACTGGGAAAGAGACCAGTGGTAAAACTCCCCTCACTTGATAGTGAACTTTGGTGAAGCTCAAGAAGCGGTCAATGTGACGGGAAGTGTAGGTAAACGCAAACGTCTGCAGAAAATATTGCTGACAAAGAAACTGGGAGGTGGTTTGTCGTCCTTCACCAAGGTCAACCAATAAGGGACGAGAAGGCTCTAAAGGTGCGAGTACAACGTTTGTTCAACAGTACGATCCCGGGTTTAGATTTATGTCTTTTGACGTAATAAAAGTTATATTGCACCAAACTGCCTCCAGCGATTTCTTCAGAACCCATTAGAATTGCATTATTGCTAGCCTAGTCCGAGATTTTCCTCCGACAATTTCATTGTTTTATTTGAATGGGTTAGGTTAGGGTTAGGTTAGGGTTAGGGTTAGGGTTAGGGTTAGGGTTAGGTTAGGGTTAGGGTTAGGGTTAAACCACAGCACCAAGTCAAATTCCTCGTTATATCCTGTTTCTGATTCTGATCTTTTTGTTTTGACATTGCCTATCTTAAAGGCAACACTAGTTCAAATTCAAAGCATACAGTTATAAAGTCACTGGCATCATGAGAGGATTATTGCGTCAATAAGAGTGGATTCTCTCCAGGTCTGTAAATACTGGGTAAATCTATAAAAACGTGCAGTGAAACACATTAAAAGTTCTCCAGCTGGAGTCACAACCAATCGAAAGCCTCCGCTGTTTTATTCCACTCTCGCTGGAAAGTGTGACGGCATGGGAAGTGAATATGAAACCATTTGGGCTTTTTACAATCCTATATCCTCGTGGACATTTAGCAAAGCTATGAGCCTTTACTGAATGTAGTTTATACACTCGATGAGGACTTTTTAAACGACTACATTTGAAAGTAACAAAGTATTTTTACCATTTTTGGAGAGTTTCTAACTTTGCAGGAGATAATCTTTGTTTTGCATATTTTTCGACGGGTTACATGAAGATGCACTTAGAGATCTGATCTACCAAATAATGCTGATATTGCGCTTTCTACCTTTTCATTCCGCTCCTTCTTTCTCTCTCGTTCCCTGTTTCCTTCCTCACATATGATGGGCAGTAAATATGAAACCATTTTGGCTTTTTTAAATCCTATATCCTCGTAGACTTTTACACTTGATGAGAACTTCTTGGACGACTAAATTGGAAAGGTGTTTTAACTTAAACACTGTACTTAAGTGTGATTTTATACTCGATTATTTTCATATTTGGAGAGTTTCTAACTTTGCAGAAGGAGATAATCTTTGTTTTGCATATTTTTCGACGGGTTATACTTAGAGATCTGCTCTACCAAATAATGCTGATATTGCGCTTTTCTACCTTTTCATTCCTCTCCTCCTTTCTTTCTCGTTCCGTGTTTCCTCCTTTCTTCCTCATATAAGTAAATATGAAACCATGAGGACTCGATGAGGACTTTGTAAATGACTAAATTGGAAAGTAACAAGGTATTTTAGCCCAAATACTGTAATTAAGTGTGATTTCAAACTTGATTAATTCCATTTTTGGAGATTTTGTAACTTTGCAGAAGGAGATATTCTTTATGTTGTATGTTTTTTGACAGATGAAGATGCACTTAGAGATCTGCTCTACTGCTATTAACAAATAATGCTGATATTGTCCTTTCTACCTTTTCATTCCTCTCCTTTCTTCATCATATATATCTGACAGTATCAAGTTGTTGCCAAGAAAAAGTCTGATATATAATGTTTTTAAAAATATATCCAAACATTATATCAGGTTCTCTGACAAAGTGACCTCTAAGTAAAGAAAGAATTGTCTGCAGAAATATCACAACTCAAATGACGGTGAATGAAGTCAAAATAATGCTATAACTGTTTTTGGGATTTGAGAAATCTTCCTAAACATGATGTCCATGCTGATTGGATCCATGTTATATTTATATTAGGGGTCATCTACAGTGTTACTGATGTATGTTTCTAGCTTCTCCTGCAAATTCTGAGTGTTTGAATCATTGATCTATCAGTGATCAGTTCCCACAGACCGTAGAAGATAATCTCGTATTGTTCTTTAACCACCATCCCTCAGCCCACTTCTGTTCCTCCGTCCCTCAGTTAGTGGAAAGTCTGAGCTCGAGTGTAAACACACATAAAACCTGCTATCACTCGCTCGTAGCGTTTAATGATGTAGGAATTTCTCCTATTGTTACGTCACCCTGAGCTGCTTTTGTTACGGGGTTAAAAGCATTAAATAACGAGTGGGAAATGTAAGATGTGGAATGTAATAAACGTGTTTCTGGCTACGTACCGAGGACAAAGATCTCTACCCCTCTGCTCCTCAGCTGCCGGGCGTAGTTCTCCACGGGATCCTCAGATTTGCCGTCCGTTATGATCACCAACACTTTGGGGAAAGCCTTCCTGGCACCAGACGCCTCAGAGAAAGAGTTCTTCAGGAGGTAGTCGAGGGCATCGCCTGGAGCAGGAACACAGGAAGGGGTTGGGTTTTAAATGATGCACAGAAAACAATGGTCTGCAGAGGTGGGAAGTAGTGGAGTACAAATACTTTGTTACTGTACTTAAGTACATGTTTCTGGTCTCAGTACTTTACTCCACTACTTATTTTTCTGACGACTTTTTACTTTGACTTCTTACATGTTGAACACAAATACTTGTACTTTCTACTTCTTAAATGTTGAACCCAAATACCTGAACTTTCTACTTCTCACATGTTGAACCCAAATACCTGTACTTTCTACTTCTCACATGTTGAACCCAAATACCTGTACTTTCTACTTCTCACATGTTGAACCCAAATACCTGTACTTTCTACTTCTCACATGTTGAACCCAAATACCTGTACTTTCTACTTCTTACATGTTGAACCCAAATACCTGTACTTTCTACTTCTTACATGTTGAACTCAAATACCTGTACTTTCTACTTCTCACATGTTGAACACAAATACCTGTACTTTCTACTTCTCACATGTTGAACACAAATACCTGTACTTTCTACTTCTTACATGTTGAACCCAAATACCTGTACTTTCTACTTCTCACATGTTGAACTCAAATACCTGTACTTTCTACTTCTCACATGTTGAACACAAATACCTGTACTTTCTACTTCTCACATGTTGAACACAAATACCTGTACTTTCTACTTCTTACATGTTGAACCCAAATACCTGTACTTTCTACTTCTTACATGTTGAACACAAATACCTGTACTTTCTACTTCTTACATGTTGAACTCAAATACCTGTACTTTCTACTTCTCACATGTTGAACACAAATACCTGTACTTTCTACTTCTTACATGTTGAACCCAAATACCTGTACTTTCTACTTCTTACATGTTGAACACAAATACCTGTACTTTCTACTTCTCACATGTTGAACACAAATAACTGTACTTTCTACTTCTTACATGTTGAACTCAAATACCTGTACTTTCTACTTCTCACATGTTGAACTCAAATACCTGTACTTTCTACTTCTTACATGTTGAACTCAAATACCTGTACTTTCTACTTCTCACATGTTGAACCCAAATACCCGTACTTTCTACTTCTTACATGTTGAACTCAAATACCTGTACTTTCTACTTCTTACATGTTGAACTCAAATACCTGTACTTTCTACTTCTTACATGTTGAACTCAAATACCTGTACTTTCTACTTCTCACATGTTGAACTCAAATACCTGTACTTTCTACTTCTTACATGTTGAACTCAAATACCTGTACTTTCTACTTCTCTCATTTTCCAAACAGCTGGTTCCTTTAGTCTGAATGTGTGTTTGGTGCGTGATCATTATTCTTTAGAGTCATTGCGTGCCTATTGATTTGAACACGATCCGTGTATCCATCATTTCCTGGTCTTCTCTAAAGAAGAGGGACCAATGGAAACGTTGTCATGTTGCCGTTGTTCAGCATGGAAACATTCATTAGCTAACAATGACATCATTGTTCTATTAATATAAAGGGAGGTCAGGTACTCTTTAAAACAGCTGCTAGCTATGGGTACTTTTTACTGAAGTACATTTCAAAGCCTCTTTACTTTCACTTGAGTAAAGAAGTTTAGTCAGTACTTCTACTTTCACCAGAGTATTTTTAAACATGAGTATCTGTACTTCTACTTGATTAAAGGATGTGTGTACTTTTGCCCTCTCTGTTGATTTGAAGAGATCCTGTACCTGTCCTGGTGTTCCCTCCCTTGTACTCCAGCGCTGCGATGGCCCTCAGCAGCGTGGGTCGGGTCAGATGTGTCTTCAGGTTGAACTCAGTTCTGGATCCGGAGCTGAACTGGACCACGCCGACCCGCGTCCGCTCCGCTCCGATCTGAAACGCTCCGGCCGCCACCGAGATAAACTTTTGGATGAATTTGAAGTTCGGCCGGCCGACGCTCCAGGATCCGTCCACCAAGAAAACCACGTCAGCGATGGCACTCACAGAGCATTCTGGGAAATAAAGTGATGGGGGAGAGGGTAATAAATATCAAGAGAAGAAGGAATAAGGTTAAATTAAAGGACATTTCACAAGTTATATTTCAAGCCACTTAAGGATGAATGTTTAAAGTTTGCAATGATGCAGAGAGGTGTCAATTTCATCGCTGTTGTTCTGGTTTTTGATTACTTTAGCTATTTCACTGGAAAAAATGCTGCTCAAAATCAAGTAAAACAAAAATAAAATCAAGGTGTTTTTGCTTGGTATAAGTTGAAAATCTGCCAATAGAACAAGTAAACATTTGCTTGATAAGATTTATTTGAATAATATGGGATATTTAGATACTTGAGATGTTGTAATTAGTTGGTGAATTTATTTTTGAACTTTATTTATGAATGGCAATAAGTCAGAAATGTTCAAAATTGCTCTAATTTCTGAAATTAGTTGGTAATTGTTCTTTAAAAATGTTTTCCAAAATCAAGTAAGATTAATTTCTTGAAACTAGATGATCCATCATTACAAATACCACAGCAGCTTGAAGACCTTCTTTAATCTGAGATCCAACTAAAAATAAGATGCTTTCAAAAGTCTTAAACAGATACTTAAGATGCATTGTCTAAAAACAAGACCCTATATCTCCCTGCGTTGTTACTTCTTAAGTTATAATGTCTAATATCAAGTGTTAAGACATATTCTGATATTAGGCAAATATACTTGGCTAGATTTCGAGTTTTTACGGTGTTAATGTTCAATCTCAAATACATGTGTCAGAAAATACAGAACCCTTGACCTCCTAATGCCCCAAAAAAGACTGTCATGTTGCAATTTTGGTCAAATTTACTTTTGTTTACTTTACTTTTGTTACTGTAAATCTGTATTACAAAATGTATATTTTCTACTCTTTTAATGCTATTTGATTTCTATTTGAGATGTTTATATTTTGGATTGTTTATTTCTACTCTTTTAATTGCTCTAACTGCATTGTCTTTTTATGCTGCTGCAACGCACACATTTCCCAAATTGGGATCAATAGGGTTAACCCTACTTGTTTGTAATATGATGACAACTTTCCTTTACACCTGTAGTTCTTAACCTGATCTTCACACTAACAATGTTATCACAACTCCTAAGGGATTTGCATAATTGACGTCTATGGTCATATAAAAAGTAGTGTTAAAGCCAAGCGGAAAAACCTCCAGGGTTAAAAGGGAAGGAAATGTGGAAGTGCCAACAACTGCAGTTCCTCAAATGGCCACTTGAGGCTTTCTCCAAAGGCTAATCAATCCCCATAGGGCTCAATATTAAAATGCTGAAACTAATCACAGAATTATTACAACAAACGGTTTGGATCACTATATCACATTTCCCCTTAAATGCCAATGATACAGGGGGTGAATGTTCATATATCTCATCGGTTTCAATCGAAGGCTTAGAGTTACATTTCGTTAGGCGTTTGATCGCTTTGACAGCATTTGATACAGACTTTGATTCAACTTAGCTCCTTAAAATTGACGTACAGTAGGAGTTGTTATATAAAAGCTCTTCATTGCTCAAGATGAGTGTTTGAGTGTTTTTGTAAAGCACATTGTTCTTCTGAAGTTGAATCTAAATGTACCGCTTTAGGTACAGGACTCTCTCTCTCTTCTTTCTGGGAGTTTCTTTCCCCTAGTGAAAAACCAGCAAAAGCTTGTCATCATGTGCAGTAGCAGTTCTCTTGTAAATCAGCCTCTGTAATGGTTTCCACTTCTCCCAGCAGAGGACCAACACCATTACCGAATACTTTAGAGATTTATGGGGGGCTACATTTGATTCTCGCTATACAATGGGGGTTGTGTTGAAAGAGAACTCCTTTAGATTCTGAGCTCACGATGATGGACGCCGACCAGCAGCGAGGAAAGAACGTTCAAGAACAATATGTGGAAAAGTCGAACGTTTGGGACTCATTATCTTAGCGATGTGAGTGAAACCCACACGTCAAATTAAAGGAACAAAAGGACTTACTGACTGAATCTGAAGCGTCTGGTTTTCTGGAAGTCCCTCCAGTTGACTCCACTGAAACACAAAAACACAATCATGTAATTACAGAAATAAGAAACCCTTTATCTATCTATCAACATTTCTTCAATGTCTTTCCATTCAAGAGATTCTTTTTCTCTCCTCTGAGGGTTTCTTACGCAACATGTTGTCCCCACAGATCCAACGAACACGAGCTCTCAAATGGCAAAACAAACTAAATTGATGTCATCGTTTGCGACAGATTTTCAGGGAATCTCCGTGCTCAGAAGGTTGCTCGGCTCATCAGTGTGTGCTGCGATGCCAAAAAGGCATCCACTCCGAACTGCTGCCATGAAATAAATGAAGATCTCACTCACAGCAGAACATCTGGATCATTCACTCATCAATACGTAATGTCAAAAGAGACTTTAACAGGACCTTTGGGTCTTTGAACTGCTTAGATTAGATTAGATGTGCCTCTTTGAGCGACTTTATCAGCGGTTGGGAAACAATTTTTCTTGTAATACCTTCAAATTACCCTTCATTAGAGACCTTTGTTTGGTAACGTCTCTCTTTAAACTGAAGCAGTAACGTCTCTTCATCATTACGTAATGTCAAAAGAGACTTTAACGGGACTTTTGGATCTGTTAACTGCTTACATCCTATCTGATTTGCCTCTATCACCCTTTAGTATAGACCAGATTCGCAGTCGACCACGAGATGTGTCTAAAAATAGAACAACAATATTCTGTTTTATGTCCTATAACATAACCTTCCTGTGCCAGAATAATGCACTTGAACGCATCAAAGCTTTGTGATTGGCATGACCGCATGTGTCGGGGCGTGGCTAGTGGGCAGTGGGCTCTAGTTAGCTGACGTTGTCCGTGGCAACAGGAGTGACAGTCCGCAAGAGATGAGATTGTTTCATTTAATATTTTAAGTTTTGTTTCCCGTGGGAACACCGTCCCGTTGCACGTCTTTGTTTACTTCCGGTATGTATTTTCCACCCTCCGCGGACTGGCCATCTGGTGAATCACAGAACAGCCGGTCGTCAAGGGCCGGCTCGATTCGCTAACGACCGTCACCGCCCTTCATTTGTTATGTTTTTAAAAAGGCATCATTGAAGTTTCATCGACAGAGGTCCGCCGTTTCCCCGCAGCGAGGCTCCCCCCCAGTTGACAATTCAACCCCCCCCCCCCCCCCCCCCCCCCCCCCTCTCTATTTGGACTGGTAGATCTCGGCAGACTGGCAACTTTAAAAGTAGCTCTTGGTTCAAAAAAGGTTGGGCATCCCTGGTATAGACCTTTGTTTGGACATGAGTTGGAACCAATTCAATCAACGAAAGAAATGCATTTTTACAAGAGTAAAGCATATAATTATGTTGCATACATTTTCACTCACCTTGTGACCTATCATGGTTATCTTGAGAACTCACATGTTGGGAATCAGTGATCTAACTCGTGCACCAAATCACATCTGCATTTTATAACGGTTTCAAACAGCCTTTGAGTCTTGCTCCTCATGTCTGTTTCCAGCCGTTTTATTGTGTTTAATTCCTGATAGAAGCCAAATAATTTTCCCACATTGAAGACAATATATCTATTTTTCTAACAAGCTACTAATCATATTTAGTCTTTAAAATGTCATCCAAGAATTCACTTGCGGTTGTTGAAACTATGTCAGTCTATTTGCCGTACGTCTTGGTAAACAAATATACCATATATTAATGATGTATAATGACATTTGAATGTTTTATTTGACTGGATTGAGCCGCTTAAATGAAGTTATAGGGATTTGATGTGTCTCTAAACAGGTTCAGAAAGGTAATGCACCACATCTGGAATATTTTGAGTGTTTTGGCAGCTTGGTCACTTTCAGCCACACATGTAGATATGCTCTACCTGCTCAAAGGACTAATCGCTTTTCTAAAGCATTCATCCCTTCTGCACTCAAACCTTTAAATTCTTGAAAAGGCTTTTAACTTGATTATTTATTTATTTATTTATTATTGTGATGCTTTGAACTATTTATCGTGTAAATTGGAATTATTCACATCTGTGCTCCCGGGTGTATCTGTGTGTTTTCTTCTTGTATGTTCCTGCCTGTGTTCATGACATAAGCTGCTGCTCATAACCAATTGCCCCTTGCGGGATTAATAAAGTTGTTGATTGATTGATTGATTGATTGATTGATTGATTGATTGATTGATTTTTAAGGTGGAGGGGATCTTAATAAATCCTTAGAAAGACTATCATTGCAAAACTGTTTTAAATGTATAAACACAGACTAGATCAGATTAAGAAAATGCATCACAAAAAAAAAATTTTTTGCATTTGCCTTTCAGGGTTTCTGTAAAAAGCACTGTTCATGTTATTCTGTCCACTCAGTGTATTGGGAGTTTTACCAGTCAGTTTGGTGAACCAGGTCATTGTGACTTGCTGCTAAAACAGACCAGCTGCTGACACATTTTCCAGGCATTTGGTTGAAAGTCTGGAGCTACTTTAAACACACACACACACACACACACACACACACCACACACACACACCACACACACACACCACACACACACACACCGTCACACACTCTGTGACTCACGTGTAATTTGGCCGGAGATGGGCAGACTCTCCTCTGATCCAGCGTACGCCGATATCGTTACGGTATAATCCACATCTGGACTCAGGTCTGAGATGGAGGTCTTAGACGCAGATGCAGGCAGACTAAATTCTCTCATTGGTTCTTCTACAAAAATGCACAAAGTCAGAGGGAATCCATTAGGAAAACTATTGCATTACTTAATTTCTCCAAGAGTCAGGGTTACATAAAACCTGATTCAAACTGTTGACCTGAGGACAAGAAAGAGTTGTGTAAACACACAACAAAAGATTCAATTTAATGAAATCTTTCCGCATTACTCAATGACTGAATCAAAACACGTCATTTTAACTCTTAAATACCCAATTGTTCTATTGAGTGAAGCCTAGGCCTGTTTTATTAGTTGATATGCTTACTTTTCTAGTAAAGAAATGTTTAATGCCTATTGTACAGGATTATTACTGTGTTAAAACCCATTAACTTTCTACAAAATGAATTCAAATAACTACCTAAACCCTCACTTAATGTTAACCCAAATTATTTTTTATTGAAATACACTATATTACTTTTACAAGCATGGACTATGTGTCTCCTAAAAGAGAGTTACTGAATGATAAAATGTAAGCTTTAGTTTTATCAGTTAGCTAGATAGGTTAGATTAGAGTGTGTAGGCTAAACGGATACACATGGACGTTTTAAATGTTATTATTTCAGCTTAAATCAGGAGTTTTGTCAGTTAGATAGTTAAGTTAGCTAACAACAGCAGCTCAAATTACAGGTAGGCCTACATCGGACCGTAATTGAATATTCATTTAATATCCAAGCTAACATTTTATACTTACAATTTTTTAAATGTCTTAAATTGTTAAATTTGCCAAAAGTCTGTAATCTGACCTTTATTAAATGTCAATATTATATAATATATCAATAATCTATATCAATATAATCTATATAATCTATATAATATATATATATATATAATCTATATAATATATATATATATAATCTATATCAATAATATATCAATATAACCCTAACCGTTAGCTCTGTTAGTTAGTAAGCTAATTAAGTTAGCTAACATTACATAACAGAAAGAAAGTTGATGTTAGATATGTTAGTTAACAAGCCATACAACTGATGCTTCACCCAGGAGTTATTGAATGTATTTAAATGTATATTAAATTCAATATTAAAGCTAACCTTCTGACAGTTAGCTAGTTTAGTTGGCTAACAGCAGGTAACAATTACACCAACAGTTACTAGGAGAAAGTTATATATTTAGTGGCAAATCATTTTCATGTCAGAGTTTGTCTGACGTGTAAAGCTCCATTTAATAAACATGTTATTATAGCAACCCAGTCTCACAGCATTTCGTGTTATAGTCACGAAATTAATGTAATCTATTGATTCTTGTTCACCAACACGATTTTCGCATTTGTTTTCGTGTCACAGAATGATTTTAAAAGCAATGTATCTATTGGTGGTAGCCTATGTTTCGTGCCTGCACCACGTCTTTTTGTCCGGTCAGGTCTTGGAAGACCAGAAGCTGTGGGGTTCATAAAAACATGTTCTTACTCAATATCTTACCCTAAGCCTAACCCTATCCCTTTTATTTTAAATTGTATAATGTCGAAGTATTTTTGCAGAGAAATCTCAGATTCTCAGAATACTGAGATCTGCATTTTTTGTCATTTTTTCCTTCTAACTTGTTATTATTTGGTGCAGGCACGAAACACACTACCAATAGAAATACATTGCTTCTAAAATCGTTCTGTGTCAGAATACTGAAATCTGTATTTTTTAATCTGTTTTTCCTTCTAATTTGTTATTATTTACATTGCTTTTAAAATCGCTCTGTGTGACACGAATACAATTGTGAAATCGTGTTGGTGAACACGATTCAATAGATTCATTGTGTGACCATAACACGAAATGCAGTGAGACAGGGTTGTATAAGTCCTTAGAGCTTGCCTAAGTTTGAACTTACCAACAGCTTTTGAAAGCAGGAGCCTTTGCTTCTTTATGGGAGCATTGTCATGTCAAAGAGAATGCCTTTCCAAAACTGCTGCAGGTTAGATGCCTAAACTAATTGTCTGAAGCATTTTTGTATTGTGGTATTTAGATGTTCTCCTTATTTAAACTCATGCTGCCTGAAGGGCAGATCTGATATGACTGTAAGCTGTTTTTCAAAGATCATCTCCCTGTTTAATTAACTCTGACTGACGTGACAGCTACGCTCCTGAGTTGAACTAATGCTGACAACTTTCCATTGCAGAGATAATGTTTTACCTTCTTTTTTTAAATCATTATGATGTCCTGGAGGGAAACATGTGTGTGCAGAAATCTTCAGATAATTGCGGGGAGTGTTGAGTCTTGCCGGGCAGACTGATGTCTAAGAAAGTTTATGGCACTTGTAATGTTGTGGGCTGGGCAGGACATAACTCACAGGTTTAATGAGCACCCACCTGTGTCTGAGGTCACTTGTATTCTGTAGCCCTGTATCCTCGACTGAGGTTTACTCCAAATCATTTGCACTGTTTTCTCATTCAAAATCCTAAACCTCAAGTCTGACGGAGGGTTCACTGTGAAGAGAAAAGGTAAACAGAGTTAATCCAGCAGCTTCAGGAGGTGGATGTATTGTAATGTGAAGAATACAAGGATTTCCCCAACAGTCAACACTTCCAGGATGAAGTTTGAAAAGTTCACTGTTGGCACAAACAACACAAAGACAAACTACAGATGTTAGGGAAGCCATTTTGGACACACACAACAAATGACCTCCGTTTGAGTTTGTGTGGCCGGCAGCCATCAACAACTCAAGCAAAAAGACAACACAACATTACCATCTACTGTTGAGAACATTCAGGAAACACAAACATGGCGGGAAGACTCAGACTCTGGTGAAGTTTGGCTGACAAAGTCTACGGAAGCAATTTCAAGAGAGATAATAATCAAGTGTCTAAAATCTAAAATCAAATGGTTTCCAATATGCTTCGTAAGAAGTGGTTTATTTTCAGATCTGAATATTCAAGTTAAATTGCTTGGATTGGATTATTGTTGAAAATTGTGACAAAAAAATTAATCCAGTTTACAAACAAAAAGCAATCTTGACTTAAAGGCATTGTTTGTTTCTTACAATGATTTTTATTTTGGCTTAACACTTTTGAGATCCAAAAATGATCAAAGTAATGTTTGTTAAAATATTGGACAATCTAAGTTTCTTGATCCCATAAATGTATGAAACTATCACGGCCTTTCGTTGCTTCCATTCGGATAATTTAACTGATAGATACCAACAATATATATGTTATTAATTCTCCAGCTTCTTCGTAAATAATGAAAAGTTTTGCTTCCGGCCAACTAACGACAACATGGACCGGCTGACATCCTGCAGACCGTCCATGACCTCAATCCAACTCAAGATGTTGAATTGACAAAAACACACATCTGATGAAACTCTCAAATATTGATTATACAATGGGGAAAAGTTTCTCTCATCGTCTCCATTGCAAACCTCATAAAAGAATACACAACGTCAATAAAGACGAGTGTACATCTTTTTTCACGTTTTCCCAAAAAACTGCACCAAAGGTTCTTAAACTGCTTCAGCTCCAGATCCCAGATAAATGGTTTTGTTTCCCTTAAGGATCTGGACTTTAATCATTTAAGAACCTCTGATTTTTGGTCACGAGGATATCATGCATCACGTGTACATGAAAAGTTGTTAACAACAACTTGGGGCAGCGGACAAACAGATTCCATGTACACGAGGGACGACAGGGTATTATTTAGAGAATATTTTAAAATGATTTTCTTCAGGTTGGGGTTTTCAAACTAAATCTAAAATCTAACACGAGTAAAAAGTCACCTATCTGAGATTCTAGCTTTCTATAATGCACCCATTTTTAACAAAGAAAATAAAAGTAGCTGTAAGTTTAGCTAACGTCCAGAGATGAATGCTTTTAGACGCAAATCATCGGTAGAACCGGGGTTACACGACCGAAAGCGTTATAAGCAAGAAAAGATTCATCTTGATTTATGGTAGGATGTAATGTAAATAAACTACTCCATATATCTTTCAAGCTTTTTTCTACTCATCTGTTAATAACCTTATCATTTAAGACATACTATTCTGACATTTTCTTACTTTTTATTATTTATCTACACTTGAATAGCTACCAAGTTCTATGAAACAGATACCGTAAAACACTTATCTTATCGCCATGTATCCAACTGATGCTAGTATCAATACTCAAAACAAGATGTTGTATTGCAGTATTGACACTCAATGTGACAATCCACAGTTTTTCCAGCCTTGTACTATTTCCCCCATTTTTAGAGACTATTACCTTGAAAGCGTTTGCCTAAACTGAAACTAAAATGTGTCAACAGCGAGTCTAACTCTTAATGTGTTCATGCTGAAGGGAAGTTAATCTAACGGTAATCTGAAATATCTAAAATAAACGACACAATATTTAACCGAGTGTTTTTTCCTAGACCGCCAACCAGTTCATCTGTTAGTATTGGAGTGAAGAATATCATTGTAAAATATTGTGAAGCCGAGACTCGAGGTCAAGGCTTGACCGTGAAGAGGGGGAAGGGACAGGACGTCAGAAATGGAGGAACCACCAACCTGGGGAATCAATTCAAGGGCCCGCGGGGGGGCTGCTGCTTCTGTTTCCACATGGACAAAAACTACCCAAAGAAACTCCAGCACTTACACACACATGGACACACTTGAACACACACTTTCTTACATTCGGAGCTTTTCTTTGAAGCTTTCGACCTCCGAGGCTGCTTTTATTTTGTCATTTATCGCCTGAAATGTGACAGTCCTTAAAGCAGAGGACTTCCCTTTGGGAGATAATTATTTTTTCCAGCCTCAACAAGTCTAAGTATTCCACACGCTACAATGTATACGACCCCATTATGATGCCTTTGCTTTGAAAGGGGCCCCGTTGAGACAATAATGGGGGTCACAGGAGGTCGGAAACTCTACTGGAAGCAGAAGAGAGAAATATTCTACTCCTTGATGGGTTTTACTGCACTTAGGAGAAACTCCAGAGGCACAAGGGAGCAGATCCTCTCCTCTTCTAACCTCTGGGAAATCATGTGAAACTCATATTTAGTCTTTCCGTTCCATCAGGAGAAAGGACGTGGGGAGGAAACTTGGCCACGTGCCATCTGGGCTTTTCCTTTTTTTGGAAACTATAGAGAGATTTCTGCTTCAGTATTAAATATTTGATTATAAGCAAGGGCCCCCCCTGGTGTAAAACAGATGGAACTACATCTGTGTGAGGATGAAAAGATGTCCCATTTAACCCATTAGTTTCAGCTCTACCTCACATGGGATGCAGTAAAGGTTCAAACACGTTTTTTAACTTTACGTTAGTTTTTCAGATAGATTACAGTCTTTTGAGATGGGTAAATGTGAATAAATGGCATTTTAGAAGCTTGAGTTATTCTTTTAGGGGAGAAAGGCAAAAGAGGTTAGCTTTTTTAACAGTATAACAATGTTCCCTCATAACGGTAGCTTTCTCACCATCTGTTAACTCTCTCGTGGCTAAAAAACACTTCTGAAGCGCTACTAGTTTGACCAAATTAACTCCAATCCATAAATTCAACCCAGATATTTGAAGCTATTTCTCTGCAAGTAGAAATCTTGTGAATTCCTGATGGGAACTTGGGGGAAAAAACATCAATGAAAAGGTTAAACTGAAGCTGAAAAGGTCAAACAAATCAATCCACACATTCTCTTTCTCTGTGTGATTATTTTATTCAGACTAAATATGCATCTACACATTGCAGAGGAAAGGCAGAGGTGAGAGGAGATGAAGAGAGAGGTGTTGGATCACAGAGAGGATGATGAAGAGGAGGGGGAAGAGCAGCTTTACCTGTGTCCTGGGCGTGAGAGGAGGACAGCAGCAGTGCCAGGAGGGCAGCCGCCGCCAAAAACATCTTCATCTTCTTCCTCCGGCTCAGCAGCTCATGAAGGATGCTGAGGAGGAACGAAGAGAGGCGGTTAAACCTTCAAAAAATCAGCCCGAGGCTCCAGAGCACCTTGGAGCAACCTGGACGTGAACCAGGAACCTCCAACACCTGCCTCGTGAAAATCTACCAGCAATCAGATGCTTAAAAATACACACAACAAAACGCAGGAATATATTTAAACAATCTGATTTCCATGATCCTTGGGCTCCTAACAGCTGTTCCCCAGAGACACAAAATGGATTTTTACAAGATAGACTTTATGTTAATGTCCAAAAATCCACAATTTCATAACTTCAAACAACCAACAAAGCCGTTTTAATGGATAACCTGTTAGAATAAAGGCGCACATCTGACTGTCTCTTCTCTTCCTGTGTTAAGTCTCCCTCCTAAATCAGCCTGCCTGGATTCTGATGCAAATCCTCCAATCAAGTCCCTAATATCGCTGCTGATAAATAAACCCACTCTACCGGAGATAACGTCTTTCACAAGTTCAGAAAAACCGAGCGTCAAATCCTCGCGCCGTGCGCAATTACGCACCGCGATTTCAAGGAATAGTCCACGCGTTCCTCGAAATACTCCAAATGAAACTGGATGTTAACTGGAATATTAAAAACTATTAAGTCGAGGAATAAAACCACCTTAAAGCTGTAAGAAATACGGAATGTATGCGTCTTAAAAAGCACCAAAATAATTCAACTGGGAAGAGAAACGTAAAGATATGGCAGGACTGACCTATGGAGAAGACTGTCGAATTTCTCTGGGTTGGTTTAACGAAATGAAAAATGTGAAAGGTGGTAATCTCTCTGTTGCAGACCCTCAGCCTGAGGAGAGAGAAATGATCCGGAGAGCTTCTTGGTTCCCAGACGCGTCGGCGAGCCTCTTTCCAAATGGAACGAATCTGCACTCAATCTGGTACTTAACAGGGGGGAGTAACCCTCTCCAGAGTTACCCTCCCAGCGCTATTACGCAGCTGGGAGGGTTACTTTGAACATGCGGGAAGTAACTAAGTAGTTTTTAAGTACTTAAGTACAATTTTGAGCTCCTTGTACTTCTACTCCACTACATGTATTTATACCTTTAGTTACTTCACAGATGTGAATGAATTATATCAAATCTAATCAAGTGTTGAATCAGACTTTAGTTCCACCTGGAGTAAATCCTCCAGCTACCCTGCAGTATACAAAGTCATTCAAACTAGCTGCACCTTCACCAGCTTTGAGAACACTTTCATGATCAATCATTATAAAACATATCATATATATTATTCTGAAATGGACCAATCTGCACAACGACTACTTTTACTGTCGCTACTTTCACTATATTTTGATGAGAATACTTTTCTACTTTCACTTGAGGAACATTTTGAATGCAGGACTTTTACTGTAACAGAGTATTCCTACACTCTGGTACTTTACTCAAGTACAAGATCTGAGTACTTCTACTTCTACTCAAGTACCAGATCTGAGTACTTCTACTTTTACTCAAGAACAAGATCTGAGTACTTCTACTTTTACTCAAGAACAAGATCTGAGTACTTCTACTTTTACTCAAGAACAAGATCTGAGTACTTCTACTTTTACTCAAGAACAAGATCTGAGTACTTCTACTTTTACTCAAGTACAAGATCTGAGTACTTCTACTTTTACTCAAGAACAAGATCTGAGTACTTCTACTTTTACTCAAGTACAAGATCTGAGTACTTCTACTTTTACTCAAGTACAAGATCTGAGTACTTCTACTTTTACTCAAGTACAAGATCTGAGTACTTCTACTTTTACTCAAGTACAAGATCTGAGTACTTCTACTTTTACTCAAGTACAAGATCTGAGTACTTCTACTTTTACTCAAGTACAAGATCTGACTACTTCTACTTTTACTCAAGTACAAGATCCGAGTACTTCTACTTTTACTCAAGTACAAGATCTGAGTACTTCTACTTTTACTCAAGTACAATATCAGAGTACTTCTACTTTTACTCAAGTACAAGATCTGAGTACTTCTACTTTTACTTTTTTATCCGTTACTCCCCAAGACTGCTCTTACAACATGCAGCCGAGACAAAAAATGATGTGCAACCTCTGAAAGTGCTTACACACACTCTCTCACACACACACACCACACACACACACACACACACACACACACACACACACACACACACACACACACACACACACACACACACACACACACACACACTCACACACACACACTCTCACACACACACTCTCACACACACTCACACACACACACAGACTCGGAAACTTCGACATAGTTCTCTGCATTCCTTTCCGGTGATGGAGGGCTTCTGTGCGTCTCGGCCACAAGGAGACAGGAGATCTGCTTTTTTGGGAAGAGGGGGGATGACTGAGGCTTTTACCCCTTTCTCATTTGGTGAATCAAAGGGAAAACATTACACAGTCTGGTAAAGTAAACCCCCCACAACTCAGACTTTCCCCCCTGTAATGAATCATTCCGGTTTTCAGGGTCGGAGCAGAAGTTCCTCAGCCGGGTCTGATTAGGAGGAAACACAAATGTATGACAATTAAAATCATCCAAAGAAAGTCAACCATGCCCAGATCTAAAACAGTGAAGTTAGAAAAGTGAGATCAAATGTACCCGGGAATCTAAAAAGTACTAAATGCGTCCGAGGTCATTTCCAAATGTGCAATAATAATACAAGAAGTAAAGAATGATCGATATAAAATCTGAAATCTCACAAGGTTATGATCCAAATTGGAAATAGATCCTGAAAATGTGATTCTGGTCTCCTATTATTTATTCATCCTACTTATATTTCATTTCCTTTAACCTCAAATCTGTTTGCTATGATACACAACATTTACAGTTCCCCTAAAATGTGGACAAGGCCCCTCCAAAATGTGTAACTTTGAACTGTGTTAAAGCGCATCAAAGTCCCTAAATTCTGGATCGCAGACCAATAAAGTTTTTTTTTCCAAATATGATAGTAGCTACACCTAGAGATATGTTGATTTGTGCAACTATAAAACTAAGAATAGCACCACTAAAGTGTGTTGCAGTCCATATTTGGGTCACATCAATTCCAACGTTTGGTAGAATCCGTTAAATTGCCAACATTTTGTGATATCTTTGGTCAAAATTGCTCCAAAATTGCTTTAAAATCATAACGCAATTTGTGTTAGTGCCAACAAATGTGTAAAAGCAACACCAACACGTGTCATTTAAAATATAAACTTTACATATCTTAACAAGTATTTAAATAAGTGGTCAAATGTGTTGAAGCACCACAAACTTTGTGAATAGTCTCAATCATGTCTGACTATTTGGCTAAAAACCAGAAACATTCACATTGACTTTTCTAAATCATGACAATGGCGCCCCCTGGTGGCTGAAGACACGGACACGATTAGCTGGTTATTGATCAAATTGAACAGGAATGTGTTATTTGTTGTTTGTTTTAAGCTAGTAGCACTACATGTTTTTAAAGCTCGGTTGGATGCTACTCAATCAGATGCTGTTGGTACCTGTACATGTGGTTAGATATGCAAATTGTAATCCCTGTACATTTTGCTGTATGATGTCCTTTTGTTGTTCTGTTGTTTATGTTTTTATGTCTTCTTGTGGAACCTACTGCTGCAGGTCTCCATTGAAAAAGAGATCATTGATCTCAATGGGATTTCACCTGATAAATAAAGGTTTTGAATTGAATTGTTCCAGGCAGTTATGACTAAAACAATCCATTTTGAAACCTTAGTAGTTTACATTTCAAAGTCAGATCGTAAATTAATACCATTTCCAGAAAGCAGATTCCTAAACGCTAATAAGGGTTTTATTCATGTATTAAAGTACGTGTGTGGGGGGGGGGTCTCCTCTGCACTCTCTCACTCACTCCCATCTCTCCTGGGCCTACAACACCCGCCTCACCCGGAGAACACTCAGCATTGTGGGTGATCCCTCCCATCCCTCCACCTGCCTCTTCATCCTCTTCCTCCCTCCACCTGCCTCTTCATCCTCTTCCTCCCTCCACCTGCCTCTTCATCCTCTTGCTCCCTCCACCTGCCTCTTCATCCTCTTCCTCCCTCCACCTGCCTCTTCATCCTCTTCCTCCCTCCACCTGCCTCTTCATCCTCTTCCTCCCTCCACCTGCCTCTTCATCCTCTTCCTCCCTCCACCAGCCTCTTCATCCTCTTCCTCCCTCCACCTGCCTCTTCATCCTCTTCCTCCCTCCACCTGCCTCTTCATCCTCTTCCTCCCTCCACCTGCCTCTTCATCCTCTTCCTCCCTCCACCTGCCTCTTCATCCTCTTCCTCCCTCCACCTGCCTCTTCATCCTCTTCCTCCCTCCACCAGCCTCTTCATCCTCTTCCTCCCTCCACCTGCCTCTTCATCCTCTTCCTCCCTCCATCTGCCTCTTCATCCTCTTCCTCCCTCCACCAGCCTCTTCATCCTCTTCCTCCCTCCACCAGCCTCTTCATCCTCTTCCTCCCTCCATCTGCCTACAGGGAGGAGTTTCCGCAGCCTGAGGTCGAGCACCACCAGACTAAAGAGCAGTTTTTTACTCCCCTCCCTCCCCTGATTGATTGATTGATTGAAAAGTGTATTAACAGCTTGTATATTGGGTACAGTACAGTACAGCTCAAAACATACAATTGTTAAGGGGATGCAGACCAGAGAAAGACTTTCGTCTTGTTTACATCAGGGTCCCCCATTTCCAATTCATCATGTCATTTAAGACATATAAGACATATTTGACATACAGATGGCTTGTTTACAATTTTCATACAGGTGGTTTTTTACATACAGATTGCTTATTTACAATTTTCATTTTAGATTTCGTTCTAATACATCCTAACCGGACATTTAAGACATACCAAGTCTACAGATATACAGTTAGTAACAGAGTCTAAAATGCGAGTATATACATAGATGGGGGGGGGGGGAAGCTGTCCATTGAACGACAGGTTGAGATTTGTACCATTACCGGGGCCAGTTTTGCAATGCTCTCCCCCGAAGGTGCTCTTTAAGAGAGGTTTTGAAGGTAAGTATAGTTTTACTTTCCTTTACAGTTGTGGGAAGAGCGTTCCACCTTGATGTGGCATCATTGCGAAACGTGTATTCCCCCTTTTTTGTGCCAAATCTGGGTTTCACATGATTTGTGGAGCTCCCTCTGGTGTTATGATCATGGTATTCCTTGACCTTTGGGAAGCATTTTGACATGTACATGGGTACCATAGAGGTGTAGTGGATCTTGTAGACCAGGCCCATTGCAAGTAGCTGTACTCTGTCGTCTACTCTAAGCCATCCTAGGTTGTCAAAGTGGGCAGAGGTGAGGTGGGTTCTAGATGAAAGGTCAAGCAGTAGTCTGACCAGTTTATTTTGCGATGTTTGAAGTTTTATTTTTAGCGCCTTGGAGGTGCTATGGTACCATGACGTGCAAGCATAGTCATAAGCCGCATTCACACCGCAGGACTTTCCCTGGTACTTTGGTTCTTTAGTTCCGTTAGTACCAATAATGTCGCGTTCACACCGCCGGGACTACTTAGTGCCGGGAACTCTTTTGGCCATTTTCAGTCCCTGCTAGAGAGGTAGTACGAACCTGGTGATAAAAGAGTGCCAATTTCTATTCTATTTCTATTGGCTGGGAGAATTGCAAACCACGCCCCGTTAGACTCTGAATTGTTTTTGTTAGGCAGCCATTTTTTTCCTCGCTACAAAACCACATCCACACCTGAGCGAGTAGGTTGTTTGTACTTTAAAGCATGACTACACGTACTACAACACCGGAGCGGTGGAATGACGAGGAAGTGTCTGCGCTTCTGGACATTTACTCTGAGGACGGGATGCAGCAGCTTCTACAGAAAGCAGTTCCCAACTCCAAATGTTTTGAGCGA